TCTGGTGACATGCGTGACAAATGCCTCAACCAACGTTATCTATGGAGGTCGACCAATTATTTGCTCCAGTGAGAGACCGCATTTACCCAAAACTTTACACCTGACCTCAACGTTGCTCGTCCGGTTACACCACCGGATTCGCGCAATGCTGCGTAGACAGCGCTATTCAAACGCCAACAGTCTGTCTTTATCCTGTTTTCTTAATGGTTAGGTTTCTGCTCCGGATAGCAGAACTGCCGCAGCATACAGTCGACACTTAACAGACAGCCGGATGTCGCGGTGGCGCCACAGACGACTGAAGTCTGAGAAATGGTTAAAATGAATCGAAAAAGATGGTTATCACAGCAGTGAGGAATGGTCTCGATCTCAACTTACCTACGGCGTTGTCGTTCAGCCACCGGTTGTGAGCTGGCCTCATCCTCGACCACGGAGGCATATAACGACAAATCAGTCGAGGAGCCAGTGGCAATACCGCTGGAATCTATGTGATCGGACGGGCAAGGTTGTGCGAGGGGTAACTCCACAACCGGACCGGAAGAGATAGTCTCGTGGGAGAAAGATGCAAAGGTCGGAGAGCAACTATCAAATGAGCTATTCCAGGACAAATGCGGTGGCGGAATGCTTGCATCATCTGAGTTCGTTCGGACACCGATCAATTGTACGGAGTCCGGCTTGCGCACCTAATATACCCAGTGGGGACAAGGGATAACGGTTTGAAAACAAATAAATGCCCTATTAATCGATGCGCGGAGGCACGGGGATCGGTATTGATGTTTTTTAAAGTATACGGAGATATTGTGCGTGGCTCGAACAAGCAAAACATGAACTCTCAAACAACGGCATCTGAAAGCCGTGAAGTTAGAGCAAGTTAATGTTTGTGTGTGTTTGAATATAGCACATAAAACTGATCAGTCGGACACTAAATTAAGCATGATGGAGCCCCCATATTACACGTTGCAAAACAACAGGAGTTGATGGCCAACTGGATTTTCGTTTCTAATACACTTGGAAACAATAGTTCCGAGTTAGTAGACGCGTCGGACAAACACCACGCAAATAAAAAACATAGATGAGCAAAGAGTAGTGCACAATCGTGGTTTGCGGGATCAGAAAGAGAGCCCAGAATGACTCGCGCAGACTCTGCTCCCAATCGAAGTCTGGTAGTTTTGTTCCCGTGTATGGGGGGGGGGCTCTACATCTGTGACTGAATGAGGGACGAGTCAGCTAGTGACAGACAAACCGATTGAAATAATTGGTTTAATACTTCCGTTCCGGAACGCACAATCGTTACCATTTTTGAGGGTCTATACNAACTTCTAGTGAATCCGTTGTAACTTCAAGTGAATCCAACCAATCGCATTCCACTGGAAACCCCGCAAGATGATTGGTGTTTCGACTGTCAAAGGTCACCGTTTGGACCGGGTCTATCTAAACTCCGTCCGGTCCGAATGAATTCACTTCCCCGTAAACAAACAAAAGTGAAACATTTGAATCCCGTAAGGAATTTGAACAAGTAAGTCAGAAGACAAACACTGCGAGAGGAATTCCTTTCGTATACTCTCATCGGTCGCGTACTTGTAACAGTGAACAAGATAGACAGATGAGTTGTATTAAGAAATCTAGCTAGTATTGACCAAGTGTGTGTGTGATTGTGTACAGTGTGTGTCTATCTTGTTCAATGTTATACGTACGCGACCGATAAGAGTATACGAAAGGAATTTCTCTCGAACAATGTTTGTCTTCTGACTTGCCTGTTCAAAAAAACAAAGTACTTTTTGAGTGAGTTACCGAGGCGGATGGAAGTTTCGGTGGATGAGGTGGGATCTTTCCCCTACTCCCACCCTATCCAGGAACGTTATGTCCGTGATCTCTGATCAAGTGTGTGTTATAGACGCAAATGAACGAACCCGACGATAATTGACCTCTCTCGGTGGGGTAAGGAAGCGAATTACGTCGAGATGGATAGATAAATTGGTCACCATGCCCAGACGTGGGTTTTGGAATGACTCATTGGAGTCAGTTTAGGCCTTCAATATCCTAATTTACGGAGAAGTTAGTTCATTGGGACTGGACGGGGTTTAGACAGACCCGGTCCAATCAGTGAAGTTTGACGGAAGAAACACCAATCATCTTTTGGGGTTCCCAGTGGAATACGATTGGTTGGATTCATTCGAAGTTGAAAAAGTACAGGAATACTGAAGAAAACCTTAAGAACACTTGTTTTTGCAAGCGGTGATTTATTCAGAAATCACAGTTATCATCGCTACAAAACATGTATGGCACCATATGCGAGGACTCTGCCCATGGAACACCGTTCCGTATCCAATGTATTGGTCATTCCAGTTTGAAAATTCTGTACACCCTTTCAACATAATAAATATTTGACTCTAGGCAATGTCGTTGTTTACAGTATACCGTCCCTTAGTCAGATGTTTCCAGATCAGTGTTGGCCAGGATAAAAATGTTCTCACCGAATCCTATAACGGTTCAAGTCTGGGCATTATTTTGTTACTCGCCTTTGTTGTGAGTGGCAAATAGCAGACGGAGTAAACCACACAGTCACGATGATCTGTTCTTCAATCGTGGAATCCGGTAACTTAAACCGCCACCTGATGTGGCGAACTAAATAAATGCGCCAAAAGCATAGGTACGGTATTGAGCAGGATGAGGGTAAAGCTTATGCAGGCGGGGTACTAACCTTGGACACGCCCGTGACAGCAAATTAAAACGGCCTGACCACCAACAAACCGGGAAGAAATATACACGGAACCGAATGCAGCACTACACGCAGTACCGTAAACTGATTTAGACCGCTAATCAGGAGGAGACGAACAATATCCCTACCGGATAGATTTTTTCTCATAAGTAGACCAAATCCCACTTCAGTCAGTTACGACTTTCAGTTCACCAGAAGCGTTTTTTCTGTTTGCTAATTTTATTAGACCTATATCCGCCTCCTCATTTTGTATTTTATCCAGGAACAGGGAGGGAGAGGACGATGTACATTGTTTTCTGAATTGGTCTCAATATCAAGTTCAACTCAAGTTCCGTCACCGACGAATCGCTCCGGAAGTTTAAGTCCATACGTAACTTGGGTTTATCTTTAGCCGAGATCTTTCAAATGTGAAATCCATTCTCTACCTAGATTGGAGCTGTTTCCGCTTCACATACCCCGCTCACAGTAGATTTGGATTTGATGCGACATCTGGCCATCTGTGCTGAAACGGATCTCGAGCGTGAGATCGATTATCGATATTTCAACATGGGAAATGGTTTCTACCGACAAACTTGGGCGCTTGTTCCCGCAAAGTTCAATCATACTGCGAGTGTCGCGAACACACGGTACCCAGGTGTCATATGTCCGTAGAGTACACCAGTCTGTCGACTGCTGACTCCTCGCAATCGGCAGGCGCCGTAGAGAAGTGAGAACGGCGGAAGAACAATCGAAATAGCAATGTACTTTACTTTATTTGATCCCGAGGTGGACACGTTCTCAGCGTCTTCTCGGGCATACTTCAATATAACAGAAACCGTAAACCATGAGATTGACGAGGGAAAATCAAGTGACGTCATCATCATCCTCGTCATCGGACAGCGAACTGCAGTGAATCGAAATTCACTGATCGCTGCCAAACTCCCAAGGCATACGAGGTTAGTGATAAAATTTAAGGTGAACAGGGACTGGACCTGTTTTGAGGGAGGAGGAAGAAGGTGAACCTCAATGGTCAACACACAGAGTAAGCAATCGGAATCTGTCTGCATACATACCGTTTCAAGCATTCTGGCCTGACAAGAAATGACAACAAGAACGCAACTGCTGTCGGTTCACTGCCATATTCTTCAATGTATCCAATCAATCAATTGTGGAGTCTTTCGGATCCCAATCTGGAAGACGGGAGACACCTATTCTCGCTAATGGGTCTGAGCATTTCTTCATGCCTCGTCTCCAAGTCATCTGTTGAACTCCATGTGGCTTCCTCCAGTCCGGATTATCTACAGCGAATAAAGTGCGGTACGACAGACGACAGCCGGGCATACGCAATGCGTGCCCTAGCCAACGAAGTATACTAATCTGAATTCGGTGTGCTAGCAGGTTTATCCCTGATAAATTCCCAAACACACGATGACTCACCTCCGGATTACTAACCCGTTCGCTCCATCCCACGTGGGCTAAACTACGAAACCATCGATAATCTAAAACGTCTAGTCGCAAATTTAAGGTCTCACAACCATAAAGCAAAACTGAACGAACGGTGGCACTATATATACGACCTTTCAACTTCAGTGAAACGTCGCGGCTACACCAAAGGTGTTTTCAGTTCTGCATATGCTGCTCGTGTCTTGGAAATGCGGGCGGTTATTTCTTTCGCTGCGCTACTGTCATTGGTCACGCAACTACCCAAGCAGGAAAAGTAATCCACCATCGAGTGATGTGAACACATTCAAACAATTTTTACGTAATTCAATAGCCTGACTAGACATGGAACATGGAACGAATTGCTATATGAAGTAGTGGAGCACAAACAGTTGCTTGCTTTAGGTTCGAGTCACTGATGTGACAGTGGAACAGGAAAGATCAATTTGGAGAGGGTGGACACGGATGCACACTGTTTCACTCAGTCGGTCAGAAGAGGAACAGTGACTTGTTTTACTCGAAACTCAATGGGCGATGATTGAGAAATATATCTGACGATACACTTTAAAGAGTATATGCCCAAGATCAAATACTTGGAGAACAAACCTGGGAAAAATACTGCAGACCAGTACGTAAGATATAATACGCAGGAAAAGATAAATTTGTTGCGTGTGGCGTGTGCAGAAACTCTCAGAGGACACAGCCTGGATAGGTGAAAGAAAGCTTCGTGAATACGATGAGTCGATTGGACACAGGTCGTAGGATTCAACGTCAAGTTTGCGGCTTTCGACCACTGGTTCGTTGAGGACACAGAGTGTTGGAAGTGTTCTGGGCAAGGTGAACAACTACTGTAATCGTCGGTTCATAGGAATGAGGTAATCAGAAAGTTTTGATCAAGAAAAGCAAACAAAAACTGGGGCGAGGATGGAGTCTTAGAGTACACCTAATTTGATGAAAAGTGCTGAAAAACTCTCTCTCTCTGCATTAAGTCAGGTGAACTGCCTTCGGATAGTGAAACAATCTCGTAGTCATCCGAACGGATGGGTTCAGTGTCGTGAGCAGTAAAATGTTGCCGAAAGTTTCCACAGTCACAAAAGCAGATGTGAACCAGTGTGTGAACTTCTGGACCAAACAGTGTGTAATAGAGTGAATCAGTCCGGTTATAACATGGACAGCTGAACGCTGATTGCGGTATTCCCAAGCTGATGTTTATCAAGCATGTGAAGCGAATGATTACGATGCGCTCCAGAGTTTTCCACGGTAGCTATATTGAGGCTATTCGAAAAAGGAACTGTTCTTTTTCGTTATTGGGGACCAGGGTGGGGTAAATGTTCCACCACGAGTCAGTCGGCTGCGTCACAGTCCGAGAGGCAGCAACTAGAAACATCTGACAAAGTCGATGCAAGGTGATTTGCACAGGTTTTCGAGATAACTGGAAGGAGATAATCCGGTCTAGCATCTGGGGCTCGCGAAGGACATCTCAGTTGATAAATGACAGGAGTATGTGGGCGTTTGGCAGTGGTTTTAGCGTAGGAGAAATAAATGGGCCGTTCATGTGTGGGAGAGAATGAGTTGTTAGGCTCCTTTGAGTTAGTTGCACAAGAAATTTACAGGCAGAGGGAAGTGAGTATTTTCATTCCTTTCCAGAGATTACAACAACAACTATGAACTGCTTCGACGAATGGGATCGACGTGCAGGGAGTAAAGATGAGCTTTTTCCTCAGTGATCTGGCTGTTTTGTGATGTCATCGGTGGCATGTCCCGAGTAGGATACGCTTTTTCTTTGTTACTGATTAATTAGAACTGACCATGCTTCAGAATTCACTTTCACGCACATTCCTCAGCTCTTCTAGTCAACCTTACACTGGTGGAAGCACCATAGACTCGAGTTTCACTCGTATTAGAGCTCATCAATAGTGTATCATATCCACCGTCCCGTCCGGGTTTTGAAATCCGCGCCCATTGAGCATGGAAGGTGTGTATGTGTGTTGTCACTAAGCCAACCGACTCATACTCGGGGCTGAGCTGAACTGCCAATTCATGTTTGTTCTACCGTAGTGTTTTCAGTTTGTTGGGACCCGAGACGATCCGGGTTGAACCAAATTCTCTCGCTGTGACCGCATAGCTCTAACAAAATTTTTAACAATATGTGGAATTTTTGCAGTTCCAGATGTAGGGGTCGAAAAAAAGATATATGGTAGAAGTTCCAACTACCTGTTCCAAGTTTGGCAGTTATTCGGATGGTGCTGGTGCATGCATACACTTTACGGTCGATTGACTTGATTAACGTTTCACTGACTGATTTCCCATAAACTTTAGATAGAACCGTGACCACACAATGGTCGGACTTCCTTGGTAATGCTCACATGAAAGCACGGAATAGAGAGGGATGGTGTACACAAAAATCCAAGTAAGAATTGTTCCTGAGGGGGAGAACTGGTGAGGTTGTGGACAAATGCATATTTTCGAAAACTTAGATCAACTATGCTAAAATCTTCGGCGATGATAAAAAGCATTGTCTCCAAGCGAAACAGTTCAGCAGTAACAAGGGACCTGGTGCTTGCACAGCTAATCCGAGCGAGAAACCACAGCGTTTACAGCCGTGAGTCTTAGGCAGACCAAGTGAACTTCGACTGTACAGCAGGAGTGCCATCAGTACACGGATGGACTGGAAGAGACCAAAAGAGCATTAAAAATACAAGCCGGTAATCGGACAGTCTCGTGTTGGGGCGAGGGATCCCAAGCGTCGCAGATCGCGGAGTATGGTCCAATCAGATCGTAGAGAGAATCAGAGGGAATGTACGTGTTGAAGGTCATGATTCAGAGAGATGAGATGATATGAAAAGATGAAACCATCGCCCTGTAGTCCAAAAATTTGTAGATTGAGAGAGACGGAGAGAGAAGTCCCGGATAATCTCGACAGAATGCTGCACACGTTCGAGGATGCAGCCAACAGTGGGGAACATTCATAGTTTGTACATGTACAGTCTGGATAATAACCATAATGACCAGTATGCACAATGCTTGCACTGGTTGTCAAAGGCATTCTGTATAACCCGCTTGCCTCCCAAGGCCTCAGTATGGTTGGGGGTGGGTGTCTAGGGTTGCGGCTGATCACCCTGCCCCTGCACCTCACGAAATGCCCCCATACGACCAAGCGTCTCAAATAGCCTCTGCTGAGGAAGCCCTACTCACTGCCTTCTCGCGGCGGAGGTGTTTTCCCACCAAAATGAGAGGACGAAAAGCCGATATCCGGGTCTATAGCCGGATTGGTGGACCACTGGCAGTTCACCTAGGGGAGTTGGCCAAAAACCCTGATTCCAAACCAACCATGAGGAGACGTACGAACCACACCCACACCTTTTCGGTTGTGGCAGTGGTCACCGGCTCGATTGGGCATTGAGGTGTATTGGGCACCTTGGACGTCTGACCCCGTCCGAAGGGCGTATGATCCGATGAACTGGACACCGGCTCCCAATGGACTGCGGTTCGAACACACCGCCCCGCTGCCTTGCG